AGGTACCGATAATACTATAGGGCTAATATTTGAATTGTCTACAGTGCAAACTTTACACAGTAGTTGCTGATGATTTTGTAAAGTTTCACTTTTAGTGAAAAATACTTTCAAAAGTTTCACTTTTGGTGATCTCTTGAGCCAATCCTAAACCCGTTCCCTTAGTGTTACCGTTGAAATAGTCATTAAAATACTTTCGATATTTGCTTAGAGCTATGAAATAAGTTTTCACATATTTTGTAGGGACCTGACAACAGTCCCATCCAATTATCCTCTCTCTCTCTCTCTCTCTCTCTCTCTCTCTCTCTCTCTCTCTCTCTCTGCCCTTTTATTTCACGTATTCTATAATTAGTTTGTAAACCTTTCGACCCATCAGTCAATTATAGCAAACATTGAGAGTTTTAAAAACTTTTACTTTTCTGATAAATCTATATATTAATAGATTTTCGACGGATATACTATAAGTATTGTATTAATTTAGTGAAACTAGAACATAGAGTACTTCATATTATTCAGTAATATATTCATGGAAAAGGGTTCTAATTGTTCATAACTTTTCAATTAAATTTCAATTATATCCCTACGAATGTTCTTCATCAACTTTTATGACATTGACATTTAAATATTATGTAAAAATCGCTATTATAAATATACATACAGTATAATAAATGTCAAATGTGTCATATGAAACTGAGATTAAGATTATCTTAAATTACAAAATGAATTAAAAAATTATTGAACTATTCAATAATAGAAACAAAGTGGCAATCATTTATTAGACTCAATAGATATTAATAAATAATTTATATGTGAATTGTATCATGAAAAAAGACAACTGAATCCATGGTTACGACTGGGGATAATATCCTCTGTTTCTAAGCACACATTGTTTAATGTGAATTTGGGCCCTGATTTGTCTTTGTACTGTATTTTATATCAAAAACTATTCAAAGTCTACAGTATGATAAAATTAAAGCGATTGTATGATATTTGTTTAAACAAACTTAAATTAATCTCTGATAACCTGAATAGACAAATGGAAAGCCATTTCCCATATTACCGTTCAGGTATAAAGATTACCATTTTAAACCTAAACGGATGAATAGCTATACTTTCAGCTATACTGTACCACTGTAAATACATGTATACCGTAAGTATCATAAATGGAAATGTTTCAGATTTATGGCACTTGCTTTCAGTTGGATTTGTCACTAAAAGAGCGGTTTATTTGTTTAGCCCATCAGTCGATTGGAAATAAATTGATTTGATAGGAAAGCACAGAACAAACGGAAATGTTTGCATTCAATGAATGTATCAATTGTGAGATGATTATGAATATGATTCATACCGTGATATTTAACCAAAACGTTCTGATATTTAGCGTAAAAATCTATAATAGAGGTAACACTGGCCCACGAATCCATAATATCATCAAAATTACGCCAATAGTTACAATATTGAGATATTCTCTCATAATCAGGGTTCTGTCCGATTTGATAGGCCGGCCAACTGCATGCATACACTATTGGACGACCTATGAGTACAAAAAGGGTTATATATGAGGGTAATAAAGATATAAAGATAAAACAAGTGACTGACCGGTGTCGTTTAGGGCAGTTGACATTTCTGGGTACATATTTGTCATGTTCTTTGTGTCCGCATAACAACCGTCCAGTTTGAGAGAGTCGACCCCCCATTCCGCATATGTCTGAGCGTCCAAACTGTCGTAATCGGTTCCATCAGCTCCTCGAGCACCTGGATATCCGCCGCATGTCTTTGTCCCGATGTCTCCATAAATACCAAATAATAAACCCTTGGAGTGGATGTAGTCTCCCAGAGCTTTCATACCACTGGGAAAGCGTTTGTGATCGGCTACTAGTCTTTTGGTAACCGAATCCCTGGCCATTTCAGACCAACAGTCATCTACACTCACATATCTATACCCCACGTCTCTATAGCCGTCGGCAGCCATTCTGTCAGCCATGTCCTTATATAACTGTTCGTTAATGCATTCATTGGGATAGTTATTGCAGTCTATATTACAGGCAAACCGTTCCCACGATAGCCAACCCATTGGTGGTGTTTTCACTAAACCATTATTTAGTGAATTAACATCACATAAGCAAATGAACAACAATACTATGATTGACCGCATATTTTACAAAAGCTTTCAATGAATATATATTATTGAAAATAAGTTAAACACAATTACTTAAGTAATGCAAAACTAAGCAAAGTAAGCACTCATTTAGTGTGAATCCAAATGAATGCAAACTGATTGTCAGCTCATATCTAATCAAAGTTGTCTATTAAGAAGAAGGAGTTCATAACATTTCAAATGTATTTATCTTTTTCTTTATTTGTTTACTATATTTTCGATATAAATATAAAAGTATTTTTCATTCAAATGGATAGTAATTAGATAATTGAAATATAATTTTATTTTAATACAGTAAATATTATATTCTTTTCTGATACAGAAATAATTAGAATCTCTTTTTTATAATTTGTATTATATATACATACATATAATATATATATATTAATTAGATAATTGAAATATAATTTTATTTTAATACAGTAAATATTATATTCTTTTCTGATACAGAAATAATTAGAATCTCTTTTTTATAATTTGTATTATATATACATACATATAATATATATATATTATAGTTTAAATTTATGATTTTGTGATAAAATTATTTTTTACAATTTTTTCAAATATAGAAGAAATGGAAATAAAAAGTGAAATAAATTATTTGAAATGTGAATAGTTTTGAGATTAAGAAATGCAGATAAAGAAAAGATTTTAAGGTATAAAATATTTTATGTACTTTTATAAGTTTCAACAGACATACAGACATTAATCCTTGTATTCCTTGTATTCGATCCAAACATTTCAAGGTTTATCCAATGGTTTAAACTTTACTGAATTTATTCAAAGTGCAAAACCCATTCAAAAATACAGGATTTCTCAACATGTCATAGGATTTTAGAATAGCTTTAGAATAATAATCCAATATTTGATAGGATCTAATCATAATTTTTTGAAACCATCATTTTTTACCTCAAATTTATCAAATAAAATACATATTTGTATAATATATTATATATTATTTTTTTTAAACTTCACATTAATTTTCAAATTAACGATAAGATAATCATAATTACCTATATTTGAAATTTAGTTATTAATTTATTACTTAGGGAAATTGGTATTTTGAACTTAAACGTTAGTCCTTGACCATAAATCAATTCACCCAGGAGTCTGAATGATTAACAGCCGGTGTTATAAATTGCAACCAAAAAACAAATCATATGCTGTAACAAAATCATTTGATACAGTACTGTACAGTACAATATAACAAATTGCGAAATAAATGAACAAAAATGGACTAAAAAATCAAATTTTAATAATCAAAAAATAAACACTAAATTGAAGGCACATATCATCATATATTGTATCATAATTTGAATAATTAATATGAAATTCTAATAATTGATTATTAAATGAAAAGCAAATATTGAGTCAATCTCTGCATACATGAGAGCAATAGACCATTAATTCATCAAATCTTTAAACGTTACATAATTTCATTAGAAAACCACTGTTTGCATGCATTCGTATCACAGATACAGTACTAAAAACCAAACCATTCCCTGAATGTCAAACAATTTATGCATTCCTTTCACTACACTTTTCGTCTCGTTTTTGACAATAATGTTAAAAAAAATTAGAAAACAATTCAAAAAATTTACTTCTAAGTAATTCATACAAAACAACTATACGTGAATAGAACAGTGATTATAATATAAATAATTAGTTAATAAGAGGCAATCAGTCATTACGCGATTAATTCATTAATATGTAGTCAAACACAATCAATAATCAAATAATTATAATATAATAAATTGGGGTAAAAAAGATGAACTCATATATAATAATAATTCCTATAAATTGTTTAATAGTTATAATAATAATAATATTCTTATTTGGATTCCGTCTTCATTTCGTTGGACAACATTTTCAGCAATTTCTCCCTCTTCTCGATCTCAGCATTGAGAGTGCGCTCCAGATATTTCTGTTTGTCGTTCAAAGTGTGCACATAAGCCGTCGCCTCGTGAAGGATCATAATCCTCGGCGGCCTCTTGTCTGCGGTCTTGAGTTTGGGGATCTGGTCCTTCAGATTCACGAATGCGTTCCTCAAATGGTCTCTTCGTTTGCGTTCAGAGTCGTTGTGTTCGCGTCTCCGAAGTGGCGGTACTTTCGACGACTTGTCCCCCATATTGGAGTCCAAGTCCTCGTCGTCCGACTGACTCAAGCTCTCGGATGATGTCTTGCTTTTGAGGAACGGATGGTTTTGAGCGAACATTACTTTGCGTTCAGAAGAGACGGTCGACGCCTTTCTTCGCGTGGAAAACTTGCAGTTCTTTTGTTGCGAAGAGTTATTACAACTACTCTTCGCTTCCAAACAACTCTTCGCAGACTTGAGAAAATGCTTATCATTTCTAATGATCCTAACGGTGGGAACGGCTAGTGTTCTGTCACTCGATTCTTTAGGACTCACTACAGAAGTGCAACTAATGGTCGAATTCGCTTTAATAATCTTTATTTTTTTACCATTTATTTTATGGCATTTAATCTTATTTCCAGATCTCGGCTGAACCTTATGTTTGGGATGTATTAGGCCTGCAATGAGACATCAATTCAT